TAAATATACATATTGTGTTTCCTCATTGTGTATTTTCAATTCAATGTCTGTTAAACTCTTAGGTTTAATAGATTGCTAGCGCATTCGCAGTTATTTGTAATTACCGTTTGGGTATTCCTTTTAATCATTTAATTGAAATTGCTAGGGCATATTTTATTTTGCACCCTGGATACTGATCCTTTGAACATTTTAATCGCACTTTTTTTTTTATGCACAAACGTTGTGAGTTTTGAATCGTCTCGATGAGAGTCCGGTTGGAAACGGTTGTGTAACAATCTTATCAGGCATATTTACAACAAAAATAAATTTATGACATATTAAAAGACTAATTACTTTCACCTCAAATACCAATTAGTTGTAATTTTTTATTTTTTATTTTTTTAAATGTGCCACTATCCTATGTTTTGCCCATTTGTCAGTAATAATTTTTTACTCATTTAAAACTCAATCAAATTGAATATGCTCCCTTATTATTGTATATATTTTAATATGTACACGTCAGAATAAGTGTGTTGTTTGAATTTTTACGTAAATATTGCGTTACACTGAATGACAATGTAACATTATTTCAACCAAATTGTAACATTTTATTCTCCAAAAACTTATTTGAAACGTTAAAAGTAGACATTTTACTTGCATTTAATGTGCTTTCTATGGACATAAAATCACTTTTGTACATGTATTTTGATGCAGACAACAACAGGGCAGTAAAATAAAGTGCTGCGGCTCTGCTTTGTTTACAGCGGTAACCAGGAAAACGCTATTGCGGTCGGTTCATAAGCAGTGTTGCCACGTCCGCGGTTTTCCCGCGGAATTGGGCTACTTTAACACTGTCGCCGCGGGTTGAAGCGACCCCAGTAACGTGATATTTAGCCCTGAAATGCGAATTTTACCAGGGGAAAAAAATAACGTTTATTTTACCCCGCCGAACGTGATTTTTAACGGGGGATCCACCTCGAAACACGACTGGACTAGTTTTGGGCTATTTTTGGTTAGCAATTGGGAGGATTTTATTGTGAAAACCTGGCAACCCTGACCGTTCGCCGTCGTGCCGCGTCGCGTGAGGACCGAAGATGGCGGCTAGCAGCGCGGCGTCGGTGTGTCAGTACTGGAAGCGCTTTAATCTGCAGCAGCTGCAGGTCTGTGGATCTCTTTTAACCGTTAACTTACACGTTCTCTTTCGTGTGTGTTTGGCTGCTGCATCGACTGATCGGTGATTGATTAGTTATCTTTGTTTATCCATCAGCTGCTGTGATGTAAACACTGTCCAAAGCAGTCGCAGAACAGACACGAACTAGCATTTAACGCTAGACACAAGTTCGTTAACAGTATGAATAATTTGGCCTGAAGATCCTGACTTCGCTGGGGTCATATCTCGGCAGATTAACCGATAGTTATGAGTTAAAGCTGCTCAAGCCTGACTGTCTCGGAGCCCTCGGTAGTGTTGAGCTGTGAGGATCTCTCAATCATCACGCTTTCAGTGACTAACACACGGAACTATAATTGATCTGATTCATATTTACACGCACTTGTCACGACTTTTCATTGTGTAGCATTAAAAACACAACTTTTATTCAAACTGTGAATAGATTGTTTAGCAAAGAGTGTTCATGATTTAAGATGTCCTGCAAACTGTGTGCAAAATATGAAAACAAATATGAATTTAGACCATGCATTGTTTGCAGTGTATATGTCAAGTTTTATACCTCTAATACATAATAGAGTTCTATAGATCAGTGGTTTATGTGTCTGTAAATAAAGACAGACAGACATGTGAGAGCAGTGTTTTTTTTAAATCTGATTCTGCCAGGGATGTTTTTTTTAGGAAGAGGCAAGAGAGACAGTGCCTCCTAAAAATACGGATTACAGAATAAACCGCAGTACAAAAACAAAACAATACAAGTATTATGAAATATGACAAAATTGTATGCATCACTTATCAAAGATCCCAGGGTTCCTGCAGGCCCTTAAAAAGTCCTGCAGGTTATAAAAAGTCTTAAATGATATAACTTAAATTTGGGGACGGAAAAGCTTATACTTTGTTGTATTAAACAGAACATTAATTGCATTGTTAATGTAAACATACGAAGCAGAATTGTGTTGGTTGTTGTTTTCTTGATAGTGTAAGCAGTGGTTATGTATTTAGCCTAACTAAATCTATCAGTTGTGAGTTCATCTGCTCTAACTGTGACTCGATGTCTTTCAGAGAGAGCTGGACAGAGCCGCCACACTCCTGGCCGTTTTACTTGCATTTAATGTGCTTTCTATGGACATAAAATCACTTTTGTACATGTATTTTGATGCAGACAACAACAGGGCAGTAAAATAAAGTGCTACCTCTGATTTATTAATATATGCACCACAAAATCCAAACAAATTACAGGGGATGGGATGCTTTTGATTATGAGGGCACATGAATGATTAAATTATTAACATTCCATTAAAAAAAAAGATTCCATGGTGAATTTATAAAGAAAACACAGGCTCAGTCTTGACAGAATTTGACTTAAATTATGAGAAAAGTTTATTATAATAATTACATTTTTGCAATTGGCTGTTTGCATTACTTGTGTGTTTTTAAGTGCATGAGATAAAAGAGCACTGCATACACCTCTGACCTCGGTCTTGCCTGTATACACACGTATTATATTTGCACATTAATTATTTGTGGAATTTCCGTTGTTTCTAGAGCGAGAGAGTGAAACTGTGTCCGTGGTACAACTAATGTGAGAAAAGCTGATCTCTGACGGATTGCTTCGTTTGCTTTAGCAGTTCAAAGATAAAAAGCTGGACTGTTCCCCAGATTACAACAAGCCAGCCGGTCATCATGTGAATGTTCCCGCAGTGAGCAGGATCCCAGGAACCCATTCTTTCCATTCAAAAGCTTCCACGCAACTAATACTCTGTTAGAATGAACAGGCCTTCATGCGCAGTCAGAATTCAATCAGAAAAGCTCACATTTATCTTCATAACTCACCGAGCCACGGCCTTGTGCTTCTCCACAATCTGAACTCTTAAACTTTCATGACCAGGAACGTCGATAAGAGTCCAGCTGCCACGCTGCAATATCAAAAACATTCAGTGTGTTATTTAGCCAATTACATCGTCTGTTTAAAATCCACTCAGGTGCCTCACAACATCAAACGCACACAACTTACCCTGTCGTCTTTGCTCTTGTATGTGGCGCTGCTCTCTGTGATGGACGTCTGAGTTCTTACAAACTTCCCTAGTAATAACTGGGAAAACACTGCAAATCATTTCCAGTCGTGTCGAAAGAGTAAGAAAGCTTGTGTTGTGTAATCTTTTCCTTTACTCACTCGAGTGAACAGAAGAGTTTTCCCGGAGTCACAGAGTCCCAGCAGCAGCACAGCGTTCCTGGCTTTACTGGAGCCCCAGAAATTCCCAAAGAACACTAAGATTTCAGAAAAAGAACATGTGTGTGTGTTGAAGTTCTTCTCTGCATCATATCAACAGCTCACTGTAATATAAAACCTAGTGCTCTGTTTCAGAAATGTCAAACTTTTTACTATGCAAGGACTTAAGTACCGTCAGACAAGCAATGTTACAAAATGTTTCAGCATTCTCGTGGGAAAATTGATATTATACAGTTCATATTGAAATGTCAGAGTTCACAGTGTGGCTATTATGGGATGCCACTCAATTACAGTACTGGTAAAAGTTAAGCACTTCAGGAAGAGACTGCTGTAAAGGGAGAATATTTACAATAAACAATGCCATGAAAAGTTCATTTTCAAATTTTCTTCAATATTGGTGTTAGCTATAAGACAGCCCTTTCTCAAATAACGTTACACTTGTGCATAGTCTTAAAGTAGTCTGCAGGTATGTTATTGCAAGAGTCTTTGCCAATGAATCGAAGCTTTGGTCTGAAGTTCTGAGCTGCTTCTGAATCTTCATGTAATCCCAGTGACAGAGAGATCAGATCAGAGTCAAATCATCTGCTTGTTCATACAAAAATACAACACTTTTTATTGAGGGGGGGTGCCTAAATATTTTTTGTGAAACATCTGTGTCCAAGACATGTGCACCGCCAAGATGCAAACAATAATAATAGTTATGCTGGCTAATTCTAATAATGTCTTGTATGAATGTTTGCTTTGATATGACAATAACGCTGCTTAATGCTTACCGACAGTGAGAACCACGAGCGCTAAAGCCAGGAATATCCCGAGGATGAAAACGGCTTCTTCACTCTGAATCTCTTTCAGGAAGCTCTCCATGAACTGCTCCTCAGAGAAGTCCTCCAGATCTAGATGAATCTTCTCGTCCATGTTTGTTTGACCAGGCAGAAGACAGCGGAAGTGAACGACACGTGTGCTGACTTCAGAGACCTGCGAAGTTCCGCGTTCTACTATGGTGACGGCTGACCTCATGAATATGGAAAAAACTCATCGACCAGAGCCGCGACTTTAAGAAGAACACGCCAGAGGTGAGTTATATGTTTCTAAGCTCTCTTTCATTCAGGTGTGAGGCTCTGGGATACGCTCCTCCCTCGCAATCCATCACACCAGCAGATGTGGACCGAGTCAGAGCTTCAAAGGATGTTTGCTTTTAACTCCGTGTTAATATTTAGACATTGGAACTGGAATGTCAAAAAAAAAGAAATATATCCTAAACAAATAAAATTAGGGATGGGCACAAGGACCTTAGGACTCCAGTGATAGCAAAAAAAAAATGTTTTCAAAATATAAAAAAATGGCCAAAAGAATATATTTGTTTAAGTAAATTTATTTTCTACCAATATAGTTTTGGGCCGTTTTTTTACAAATATTTTTTGAATGTAGAAATATATTTTTTAAAAGCATTTTGACCTCTATGTATTTCAGTCCAAGAAAATGCATTTTCTTGCCCCGGAAATACATTTAGAAAAATATATTCAGGGCTCGACATTAACGCTTGTGGATTGTGTGAAGGGGCAAGTGAAAGAGAATTTAAAGGAACCTGATTAAAATTTTAATAACAAACAATAACTAAGGCAGCACCGAAACTTTGGCGAGAATGATTCTGATTTTATTTGGGGATGCACCGAATATTCGGCAAATAGCCTTAAACAATTAGTAAATAAACTGCAGAACGTTATGTTTTCTAATACACGCGCGCATTGCATGTATTCTGACAGCGCTGCACGAGCTCGCAGCAGATCTGCTTGTTAACCAGGGTTCAAAGTCCAAAGCGCGAGGAAAATCTGCGCTGATACAGTCGTCCGTTGCTCAGTCACATTTTTATGAATTTTTACAAGGCATGTGACAATGCCATACGTACAACGCATTCGTAATGACTCATTTATAAATCTGCTGTCAACAAAAATAAGCATTGAGGTCTTCCTGTGCGTTTCCGCCAAAAAGCAAGAACTCTTATCAACATTCATAAATGTTAGTATTGTAATTTTACTGTTGTTCTGTAAAATAAAATAAAAAGTAAGACAATAATAATGATAATAATCATTACAACAGCTCTGTTAATACATTTATT